AGTTTTGAAGTTTGAAAAAAGATATGTCAATTTATGAATACTTCGAAAAATTAGATTTTAACGCTGCAGAAAGGTACAAAAACAAACTTGCGATCCTTGGAATTAATCAATGTCCGTACAAATTCCCTGCAGATGCTTGGAAAGATGACCCAACAGAATGGCCATCTGTTCAATACCATGATGTATATCATTATCTTATAAAAAGTCCTAAAATCTTTTCTCCTGAGGCTATGGATAATTACAAAGCATTAGATGCTTATAAGTATTTTGTCTCTGGTTGGGTGCAAGAAGTTTTACATATGATATTGAGCTCAGGTTTTGTTATTTTTAAAGCAGAAGTTAAACCATCTTACAAAACAAACGACCCAACTCATACACCGTGGATTGCTGTTAACAACAAAGGATCAATCATCTTAAGTCACTGTAACTGCATGGCAGGGTGAGTTAAATTAATTTTTTTTTTACTTTTTCCCATACAACTTTCTAGTCTTATGTTGGATTATATGGGTTAAAGATATACATAATAACTAATGTGTATGTGGCATGTAAATGTTTCACAAAATTTAATTTGTAACCAATGAGGTAAACTTAAAAAAGGGACAATGCAATTAAAATTATTTTTTTGTAATTATTCGAAAATTAATATTTTTCAGATATTTCTTACTTTTTTATAGACTTGGTGAAACCTGCTCTCATGTTGCAGCTGTTTTATATAAATTAGAAGCAGCAGTTCGTTTGGGTTTGACATCAAAATCTTGCACAGATGTCCCTTGTAAATGGAATCAAAATTTTCCAAAAGATGTTAATCCTGCTCCAATATCTGAGATAATTTTTTACAGTGCTGATGCAAAACAAAAAATACGATCAAACATATCAACTGCATCATTAACTGTTAGAGTAAACAATTTCTTATTTTAGCCACTATTTAATATCTAGTTAATGAGATTAAAATTTACCTTGTAAAATCCACAGTTACTTTAATATTATTTTATTGACATCCTTTTTTATTTTTTGTATTAGTTGAAGTGAAACATTTAACTTTACATAATTCTTCACATAAATTAACTTCACATAATTTAAAATGGTTTAATAAAATCAGCTTTTAATCTGTTAATAAAACTTAAAAAAATAAAAAATATTTTTCCTTAACAGCTAAATGAAGAACATCAGACTCGTTTCCTTGAATCAATAAAGAAGAACAATCCTAAAGTTGTAGCATTATCATTGTTTGAAGGTTTCCAAAAGCCTTTTGTCTCTTTTCAAAATTATGAGCCAGCCAGATTGCCAAAAACACTAAGGAGTCTGTATCTCCCATCATATGCCAACCTCAGTAAGGAAAATTTATCAATTGAAGCAGAAAAACTTTTTAACTCGCTGTCAATTACCACTCAGCAACTTAAATACCTGGAGGAAGTAACTAGAAATCAGTCGTCTTCCATTTCTTGGTATGAACACAGGTGTGGTCGTATAACTGGGTCTGTTATGCATGATGTTTTGAAAGCTTCTATTGAAAATCCACCTAAGTCTTTAGTTAGGAAACTTACAAAACCAAATTTTTGTAAAAGTAATACACCTTCATTAATATGGGGACGTGAAAATGAAGAATTTGCATTAGCTGAGTATGTAAATATCAGTTCTGATGACACATACATGAGTGAATCCCTTTGCCTGTCAGTAGTCATGATTCACAATCTTGTTGAAGTAAAAACCTTTGGTTTTGTAGTTTCACAAGAGAAACCATGGCTGGGTGTGTCTCCTGATGGTGTTGTACATTGTTCATGCTGTGGGTACGGAGTTGTTGAGGTGAAATGTCCTTACAGCCTTAAAGATATTGGATTGACTTCTTCGATAGATGATAAAAATTTTTATGTAAAAAAAAGTAATAATGGTTTCATGTTGGAAAGAACGCATCCATATTTTAGTCAGGTACAACATGGAATGTTCATATTAGACTTGCATTATTGTGATTTTGTTGTCTGGACTCCGATTGATTTTTTATTTTTTCGAATTGAACGTGATCCTTATTTTGTGAATGAGATGATCACCAAAAGTACAAAATTCTGGAAAAATGTGATCTTACCAGAACTAATGACAAGAAAGTTGGAAATCACAGATGTTAAAACTGTTGAACAACAAAAAGGATTTTGCATTTGTAAAAAATCCAACAGTAATTGGGATATGGTAGGTTGTGATTGTTGTGATCAATGGTTTCATCTAACCTGCCTGAAACTAAAAAATTTACCAAAAACAAAGGTCTGGTATTGTCCAACCTGTCGACAAAAAAAATAATATTTTATTATGTATATATATTATTATTTTTGTTTTGTTTCTTTTAAATGACTATATAAATATTTTTTTTAAATAATAGTTTTATGCTGTTTCGCAACATTATATAAAGACTTTATATTATCTTATTTAAATTGTGATTTTTATAGCTTATCAAAATAAAGTTTGTTAAGCTTTTTTAACTTTTTTAGTTAATTAAATAATTTTCAGTATTTGTTAAATTTTCAATTTTGAAATCTAAAAGAAAGACTGAAAATGATATATGACTTTATATGTTACAAAATTAAAATTTTATATGCAAGTGACAGAAGAATTCGTTTATAAAAACTCATTTTAAAAAATCGTTAAAACTTTCGATTGATAGGATTAAATGGAATTAACAACTTATCTATGTTTTGTAAATATTTGTCAAATTATCTAGTTATAAGCATCGCCTTTGTTAGTAATCCTTTGTGCTTTTAAAAATATCTCCGTTTTTAATGAATATTTTTGTACTCAATTATATTTGCATTTATTAATGTTCAGTTAGTATTTTGAAGAAAGGATCTCTATTAATTTTCCCATAACTTAAATTTAAAAAAATCGCAGTAATTGGAGCCTGGGAACAAAAATACCTCACCTAGCTCAAATATGAAAGTAATGAGTTAATAAAATATTTTTGGTTGACTCTTATACTAAATTTAAACTCGTCAGTAGCTTTTAATTTTTATATAAATTATCTTTTCGCGTTCCAAAGTTATGACCATAAAATTTACAACCCCCTTGTTATGAAGGATTCGGAAACTTAAAATGGTTAGGTTTTTTAACTCGATTGTACATTAGACTGAACCCAATTTAAAATTTATAATTTTCACCATGCTCAAAATCTTACCTAAGTACCATTAAAAAAGATTTTTATTGTATTTAAACTTTAGCGATTATCTTTTTCCGGATATTTCCGGAATCCCGGATATTTTTCTTAACTTAAGTTTTTCCGGATATCCAAAACGTTTTCCATACATACAAGTTTAGCTGTATATTTTTGTAATATTCTTCTTTTTTTTTAAGCTTTTTTCAATCATCACTCAAAACTAAGAAAAGTTAAAAAAAAAGATTATAAAACAATTCAGTTAAAAGCAAAATTAAGAGGGAAATATATTTCGAATTTTTTCCGGATATTTTACCCAAACAATTTTCCGGATTTTAAAAATATGGTCTGGATGATCTATTAAAGTTAAATATAAAAAAACTTATACTTAAATATTTTTTTTTCTGTTAAGATGACCGGTACAGAAAAACCAGTTTACAGATCTTTGAACACACCGCTAAAATTCCCGAGCTCCTGGCACCGGATAAACTTTTCAATGCTAAAAATTAAGGCTAATGAAATTTCGTGCGCTGCTAATTTAACGCTAATTAATTGACGTTATTTTATTTTTAATTATGAATGATGATTTTTTAAACATAACTTTATAAATATTGTTTTTATGTTTAAAGTCGAGTTTCAAATAATCCATGATTTTAAATTCTTATGTAATATTAAAGTAATCGGTAATACCAATTAATTTTTTTCCGGGATTCGAGTCGGTCCCCGTTGAAAATAGAATCGTGACGTGTCTGATTTTAGAATTGAAGTTTGTTTTAAAATATTTTAAGAGCACATTATTTATGCTCGAAGTCAATTAGTTGAGTTATTTTTTTTTTCTTTCTGCGATTATTGTTATCAGTACCTGACAAATAACAAAAAAAAATTATTTTTTCATTGGTTCTATTTTTCTTGTATTTTCCCTAGAATGTCAGAATCAGAATCTCATAAGCGGCAAAAGCTACAAATGTAAGCGATGCGAAATAAGTTTCTTTTTATTTTCTCCAATTTTTATAACGATTCAAATGAAATTAAATAATTTTTGGGAATAGTTGTTAGGCCTTTAACAATCGGTTTAGAACGTTAGGAAATGGCTTAAGGTCATTATAGTCGCAATAAGTCAATTAAGCTTAGTGTCTTTTATATGATGTTGCAAGTATTGTAAACCGTATTTTGGACTAAACTAGTTTTAAAATTCAAAAGTGCTTAATCATTTGTTTTCTTTTAAATGGCGCTGCCTGACTTATTATGTATCTTGTGCCTCAATCATTTTTCGATTAAACCCCGTTAACTTTAGGACAAAACTATAAATTGGCGGGGGATTATTATCATTAGTGATTAATTAATGAAAACAATTTATATGTTTTTAACTTGAAAAAAAATCTCTTAAGCGTATTGCTTGTTTTTATAAAAAACTAGTTTAATCACGTAAATATTATTTGACTTGCTTGGAACATACTTTATTGTTTTGTATTATGTTTACATAAAACAATCAAATTCGGAAGTATTCAAAAAGATTCTGGAACTTAATTGGAGATTTCAGTGGAAAAAGATTTTCTTAAAGATAAAATCTTATATTGCTTTTGTATTGAGGTCTTTAAAAAATTTTTATTTTTCGATTCTGTTTCGCTTTTCAGCCCAATGGGTTTAAGTGACACTAAACTTTTACAGTCATAAAAAATACATAAAAGTTGACTCTAACATATTACGTATATTATATCATTTACATTATTTATATATTACATTGTATTATAACATTACGTGTATTTTATTCTTAAGATATTCTAGAAAAGCTAAAAATTGACATGACTTAATCAGCATTGATCGAGTCATAAAGTAAATATTACAAAAAGTGTAATAATATTACATGCTAGCGAAACACAATACTTTCTCCTAAGTTTGTTAAAGCAGCACACACCAGAACAACTTTATCACAGCTAGCATACATTAAATGATTTGCCTCATCCTTTAGACTTTTCACTGATCTTATTGGCAAGATTCCTTTTAGAATTTTATAACGATTTTTCATTAATCCTATAATCCTTTCTATATGAATCCTTACAGATGCAATATTTCTGGTAGATTCAACTTCTTCAGCTGATAGCTGGCATTTGTTTTTTGCAAATGCAGGAACCAACAGTTCCGAACTGGAATGAGCAGCAAAATCATCTTTCAATGTAAAACCACGATCAGCCAAAATTTGATCTCCAGGGTAGTGGTATTTTGATGATGTAAAGTTTGATTCTTTTACAATTTGAATGTCAGAAACACGACCACCCCAACATTTAGATAAAAAGTTAATGGCACCAAGTGGTGTACAGGAAATAAAAACCTTTAATGTGCAATGTTTTTTGTAACTACTATAACATTGTGCTCTTGCTAACAAAGGACCAGGTGACTCAATAAACACTTCAAAACAGTCAATTATTGAAGTAAGCCGTGGAAACTTTGACTTGAAAATATGTGGTATGGTTTCGAAAATGTGTTCTCGAGCTTCCATTCTAATTAAAAATTTTAATTTTTCTGACATCACATCTATCCACTTCCAAAAATATTCAGCTGTATATAGCTGTTGTTTTACTTATGGAGCACAAATGGGCCAACATATCAAAACTCATATTGTGCTTCAATTTAACTATTGTTAAAATTATTTGATCTTCCATAATATATCGAGTTGGTCTATGATCACCATTATGTTCTCCTATAAAAAGGTAATCAATAAGAGTTGTTAAAATATCAAACTTTAACCCGGTTAACATCAAGCAAGTGTCAGGATTTTCCCTTAAAACTTGAAATGAATAAGGAGACAAGTGCACAGGCAACAATAATTTTTCTCGTAATATATCACTTTCTGATCGTAAATAATCCATTTCATGGTATATACTTTCTCGTTCATATTCACTGACAAGAGACTTCATAGTTATTGTGGGGCTGGTTGGTGAGGCTAAGGGCAGATAATTTTGTTCGATCATAGTACAACATCCTACTTCATTGGTCATGTTATTGTGTACAATTTCTTCGATGTTTTCAATTTGACTAGATCTTTCAGACTGCATATTATCTATTTCATGGTACATACTTTCTCGCTCACATATACTTATAAGAGATTTCATGGCTGTTGTGGGGCTGGTTGGTGAGGCTAAGGGCAGATAATTTTGTTCAATCATAGTAGAACATCCTACTTTATTGGTCATGTCATTGTGTACAATTTCTTTGATGTTTTTATTTTGACTAGATTTTTCAGACTGCATATTATCTAATTCATGAAACATACTTTCTCGCTCACATATACTTATAAGAGATTTCATGGCTGTTGTGGGGCTGGTTGGTGAGGCTAAGGGCAGATAACTTTGTTCGATCATAGTAGAACATCCTACTTCATTGGTCATGTCATTGTGTACAATTTCTTCGATGTTTTCAATTTGACTAGATCTTTCAGACTGCATATTATCTATTTCATGGTACATACTTTCTCGCTCACATATACTTATAAGAGATTTCATGGCTGTTGTGGGACTGGTTGGTGAGGCTAAGGGCAGATAATTTTGTTCAATCATAGTAGAACATCCTACTTTATTGGTCATGTCATTGTGTACAATTTCTTTGATGTTTTTATTTTGACTAGATTTTTCAGACTGCATATTATCTAATTCATGAAACATACTTTCTCGCTCACATATATTTATAAGAGATTTCATGGCTAATGTGGGGCTGGTTGGTGATGCTAAGGGCAGAAAATTTTGTTCGATCATAGTAGAACATCCTGCTTTGTCAGTTATGTTACTGTGCATTATTTTATCAATGTTTTCAATTTGACTTGATAGCAAATCAGGCTGACTTTTATCAGATGCATAAGCAGCTAGAATAGAAAAAAATCAAGTTGTGTTTCATGTTACAAGTGTTACGTAAACACATGTACGTACATGTGTTTACGTATATTTATTTGTTTGCTTAAATTAAGCCTTTATCATACCAATAGATTTTAAAATTCTTACCTGATATTTTGTTACAATTTAATACAGATTGTCGATGAAGAGCTTGATGTTTCTTTCCACATGATTTGTATGAAAACACAGAAGGTACATAATCTGGATCATTTAATTGGTTTTTTTTTTACCTGTAAAAAAATATATATCGGTATTTTAGCTACATGAAATACACAACAAGCGTCTTTAAAGAACTAAAAAAGTTATGCTAAACAGCTCAAGCAAAAAAAACCTACCAGAAATAAAATGTTTAGAACAAACATAGTGATATTTGGATCTTGGTGACCAAAGTTTGTTCTTGAGAATATTTCCATCTTTATCTAAAGCATTACGACTGATTGCATTGAGCCAAAGTTTGCGACGTTCTGGATCATGTGGTAAAATGTAATATTTCAAATCTGGATTTTTTGTTTTGTTGTTTGAACATTCAAAAACACAACAACTTTTGGGCATTTTAAAGAATTCTTTTGTTATAGCCACTAACGCGGTGCAGACAGAAATTAATTTTCCCCCATGCAAAATGGTAGCTGTTTGCGCCAAAGATTATGACGTATTTCCGACTGCGTCCGTACTAAAAACATTGGTAGAAACATGATTCCATAGCGTAAAGTTAGGTGACGTAATGTTTATTTTTTGGCGAATAATTAAGTATTTAAGATGCAAAAAGCATTGTTAAATTATTTGGTTTATGCAATAGTTTTATGTGAATATTTAATTATTGGTCATGCGTGGTAAAATGTTTTTATCAAATAGTAACTCAATACAAAATTTGTGAAACATGATTTTATACTATAATACAAATGTTTTTATACAATTTATATTTAAATCATGATATAAGAATATTATTTGTGATCATAATATCAAAGTGAACCGCGATTGTTAAGATATTTTGATAATTTTGATTGTTAAGATATTTTGATAATTTTGATAAGAAAACTAAATCATAACATGTTTACTGTAGTTGGTTTGTTTATTAGTCATTTTGTGAGGATGGCTAAGGAATTATTCCTAAAGTTATAACAAGCACATTCTTGAGTTTTATCTTTATTTTTTAATCTTAGTGCTTCTACTATGATAAGAAACTTTATGCAAACAACAACAACAAATAAAAGCAATAGGAGCAACATTTATTTTATATAACAGTAATAATAATGAAAATAATAACAATAAAAATACCTATAATATCATAAATAATAAAATCATAATATCATTATATTATCCAGGTTTATACAATTGTAATTGCTATCTCTAAAGCTATGGTAATGGTTTATATTTTAGCCAATTTAAAAATCAACCTGTTATACACAAGGTATATACAAATGAAAATACCATATTGAATTCTGGTGTATTTTTGAAGAACATTTTTTTTTGAAAAAAGTATTAAAGATTTTCAAATTAAAGAAAAATATGCATCATGTTTTCAATAATATTTTTGTGTATCTTTTTACGTAACATGGTTTGATCAATTTTTACAATGTTCCCCATCTAAATTGGCAGGAAAAAAGTTTATAAAAAGTATACAGTTTTATAGCAAGTTAACAAATCTACTTTTAACGAAGCTTAAAATAAAAAGTTTGCAAAATAGTGTATGTATAGATTTATGTTCTGTTGTTGTTCATTTACTATAAACAAGTATATGAATTTGGAAATGGAAATTTAGTTCAAATGGAAATTTAGTTTAACGCCAATAGCAATTGTGATAAAGTAATTTAAGATCATTTAAAGTTCAGTCAAGCAAGCACCTGAAAATGGTCAACTTTTTGTTTAATATAGATTGCTGCTCCAAATACAAATTGCAGATATGATCCAATACTTTATGTCAAGCAAGGTTCAAATTTTAAACCAAACAAACTTATTATCTGTTGATCTTCTACTTTGTTTTGAAGTTATGAGTTCAGATAGATATGTAAAACATTTAGTTTACAATTTTTTTTATAGCTTTTAAGCTCAAACTAGTAACCAATGATGTAATTTAAAAGTTTTATTTTTACAAATTTTAATTTGAAAGGAGAACAACATACATTATTAAATAAGCTATAATTTGAATGCATATATTTAAATATAGGGAAGATCAATCAATCACCCCTTTATATGTATATATAAATATATATATATATATATTTTTTTATATATGTAAGTTATGATGTCTTGATGGGCACAATCACATGGAAGTAATGTAATATTAAATTAAATATTAAAGCATAAAATTTGCATTTACTTCACTTTGCTCTAACATCAAGTAATAATAAAAGTCCCAAACCATATTCAATTAAAAATAGGTTTTTAACTTGTAAGTGAATCAAATTAAATTAAACATTTTATTTTTGTTTTTTTAGATGTTACATATAGTGTAATACAAAAGGGATAAAATAATATCAAACAAAGTTGCTTGGTAGGGTATACTGGATCCATCCACTACTTCTAAAAAATCCTTAAAAACTACTATATAAAATAAAAAACAAGAGAATAGTAAAAGAATTCCTTTTATTTACATATTTAAGCAAACTGTTGATATAAAATTTTAACAAAAAAACATTTTAATATTTTTTTATAAAACAAAATAGGGGTAATTTCTACACGTTTTCATAAAAAATTCGAACGTACTTGAACGTTTTGTGTTAGCGGGGAGGTCATACATAACATTCAGATCGCAAACTTTAGGGTCATCCAAATTTACCCCACACATTGTGCATAAAATTGGTTTGTTTGCGGCATCACTCATTGTTGTTTTTTTCATGTCTTTTCCCTTCCCTTTACCTGAAATGAAGACAATTTTCGGCTTGGTTTTAGCCTAATTTTCTTTAGTGAGCCTAGCAATGGATTTATCTAAAGTGAGGCTTTCACTGCACTGTCTTTTTATGGCCTTTCCTCTCGTCTCCATTTGCCGCTTCCCTAGTTTTTCATGAAAAGGTGTGAGATTTGACCCATGACTAAAATTGTCTTATTTGGTTGAAATAATTATATATGAATAATTATATATCTAATACCATATACAAATATTAATACTACTAAATTAACATGTTGCCTAAGGATATTTACAAGCAAAGGTTCAAATTGTGGAATGAAAAATTTTATCATCTCTGTACACATTAAACACATCCAAAAAATAAATGATGATTAATAAAAGTACGATGATCAATAAAAATATATTTTAAAATGTATTTTAAAGTACATATATGGTACTTAGATTGAAGATGATTTTGGATTTCCAAAAAAAGTTTCATAAACAAATTTCTAAATCAGTATGCATATACAGGAAGCATATACTTAGTGAGAAACAGAAAGTTGGCAATCAAAAACATGAGCTAAAAGTGGTTCAAGTTTTTTTAGTTTATCTGTATTGCTCCATATCTTTTTAGAGGGTGGAATTTCCCCGGGGATAGAATTACCCCAGTCTAGCCTACAATTGTTTGAAATAAGTTTATATTATTTGCGTATTTAATTGCGACATTATTTTTGCCAATGCATTGTTTAATTTGATAAAGTTAGTACATTAACTATTTCTATTTGGTAA